CTTGTGGTCTCAGGTGGTTCCCTTGCTTAGCCCCAACTGCTCAGCAGAGCATCCTGTCATGGGAGTATGCTGTCCAAACTGCTCACAAGGCAACCAGGAAGCAGAAAGACAGGACGTGGCCAGTGACAAGCTACCCCAAGGACTGACTACCAAGGACCTATTTCTTCCAGCTAAAGCTCTACCTTCTAAAGTTCCCAGAACCTTCCAAAATAGTGCCGCTGGCTAAGCACCAAGACCCCGACACAGGAGCTTTTGTAGGGACAATTCATATCCAAAGCATTTCACCCAGCCATGTAAATGTTGGGCCCTTGTGTTGTGTGCCCAAGTCTTAGAATAGGAAGGGCTAGGTGTGGCCAGAGAACCCCTCAAGAGTTCTCATCTTTAGACAGAGGTACTCACTCTTGTTCAATTCTGCTTATTCACACTGAGTGAAGTGTGCAGGACTGAGTGTCAGGTATGTATGCATTTTCTTATATTTTTGGTTGTGAGCCTAGTCTTTAATGGCTGAGTCATTCCTCCAGCCCAGCGAAATGTATTTTCAAATGATACTTTTCCCTTATCTTTTCACAAGAATATAATTGTTCAAAGTCCAGAAACTGTTGATGAAACATCCCATTCAGTCAAAAAGCAAATGCTGCATTTTAGGCAGAATGGATGACACATTGGATTCTCTGTGACCTCAAGGGGATTCCTCCAGCTCAGCCGAGAGGAGAAGCCTGAGTTGCATATTATTAGAGCCACAGTACAGCCCATATCCCCCAAGGCACAGCCGCTGGGCCCCCTGTTCTAGCGCCACCTGCTGGCGGTGCTTTCTGCTGTCTACTGTCCCGTGGAAACGTTTGCTGCCATGGCCGGAGGACGTCCGTCCCTTGCCAGTCCCATGGGAGCTTTCCTGGCAGCAGCAGTCAGCCTGGGCATTTGCTCCAAGAGGTCTTGGAACATTTCCTGGGCAATGACCACTCCTTCGTGAGTTCAACCTCAGCCAAGGCACCAGTCCTCCTCTTTGGGGCCTGATGCCTTGTTTCCCACCATGTTGTGAGTGTGCCTGGGTGGGTGGCCAGTCTTTGCCGCCTCCATTCTCCCTGGAGGTCCCCACCATTCTGGCCACCTTTGAGCATCACTTCTTGCCTGAGACTCACCCTATGATTCTGTGCAAATGTTGATGTCTCTCCCTACTTCATGTGTTGGAACTTATTCCAAAGACAGTATCGGTAGGGAAGTAGGGCCTTTGAAAGGTAGAAGGACCTCAGCAGGGAATTAGACATGAGGGAGCTTGTGAGAGACAAGGAGCTGTCTTGCAAGCAGAGCTAATCCTTAGCAGTCATCAAATCTCTGGTGCCATGATTCTCAACCTCTAGAATTGTGAGCAATGGGTTTGTATCACACATAAATTGCCCAACCTCAGGTATTTTGTTAGAGCAAAAGAAGTAGACTGAGATATGCTTTACATATAAGTAAGTGTATTTGAAATAGTCACTAAAGATTTATTATTATTATTATTATTATTAATATTATTATTATTATTATTGTTTTTTCGAGATAGGGTTTCTCTGTGTAGTTTTGTTGCCTGTCCTGGATCTCGCTCTGTAGACCAGGCTGGCCTCGAACTCACAGAAATCTACCTGGCTTTGCCTTCCAAGTGCTGGGATTAAAGGTGTGCACTACTGCCGCCCAGCTAAGATTAACTTTTTACCCTCATTCATGAAGCCACGTCCTTCCATGATCAGGAAAAGAATCTGGCTTTATCTTATTTATGTGAAATATTAAGAGGAAATTAAATAGGGTCTGGAGAGATGGCTCAGCAGTTAAGAATGCCTGTTGCTCTTGCAGAGGACTGGGTTAGGTTCCCAGCATGTACATGGCATAATAGCAGTAGGCTAAGTCATGGGGAGGAGGTTATAAGCAAGGGTGCAGTGAAACTACCAAACCGGACCACTCCATGAGTAGAAAGAAAGGTTTATTGGGGACCAAATCACCAAGGGTGTCTTGGAGGATGGGGCAGTGTTGTTTTTTCTGTTGGCTTAGTGGCCACACCTGAATCTACTGACATTTTAACTACCTTCTGGCCCACAGTCAGCACCCCACTGCTCAGACCATGGCCTGGCCAGATTTCCAGTCCCATAGGCACTGGCTTGGCCCATAGCCACAAAATGTAGGTTTTTAACTAAGTCTCTATTGTTCTAGTTACCAATAAAGAACTGGGAGTCAGATATTGGGGTGAAAATCTGCTAGATCAAAGAAGCTGAGAAGCAACCAGCTGACTTCCTTTTGGCCAGAGACTTGGCAAGAGGAGCATCTCTCCACTCATCCCAAACCAAAAAGACCACAAATCTCTAAGTTCCTCCTTACTCCTTCCTGTATGTCTCTCTATCCATATTCTTGGCTCCTCTGTCCTTTCTATGGCCCCCGCCCCTGATCCAAGGTTAAATTTATTAACACAGTGTCAGAGTTTCACAGTGCCCTCAAATATCCCAGAGCAGGGCAGAGAAAAGCAAAACGTCAGAAAAGCAAGCATATTTTATATATCTGCAGGGTGGGGATTCTCGAGCTGATACAGGCTGTAGAATTGATCAGGAACTAGATGAACTTGCCCAATTTAGTTAGTCTTTGGGGGTTGGATTAAAGGAGGTGCCTGGTAAACAGAGACCCACATCTAGGCTTCTGTTTACCCAGCCAAAGTCCTTCTGTTTAGGACACTGTCCAGCATTGTGTCTTTACTATGTTACCTTGAACAAGTGGCATCTTCCATCTTGTTGAAAATATAGGTACAGAGGGCCAGACAGATGGTTCAGTGGCTGAGGGTACCTCTTGCTCTTCCAGAGGACCAGCACTCACATCAGGAGGCTCACATCACTCCAGCTGCAGTCGGGAAGGAATCTGTCCCCCTCTTCTGACCCCTGCCATCATCCCCACATTCTGCACATATTCACAAAGCCCACACACATATAAAAAAATAAAGTCAAAGTCAATATTTAAAAATACATGGGTGTGGGGATCACGGAAGGATGGGAGAGATTAGCTGTTCATCCAGGCTGGAAGACCGCTTTTCTGAATTCTGGAGCCTGAAAGGCCCCACATAGCATGAACCAGGTCCCAAACCAGTGGAGCACACAACCTCTCACAGTCCCATCAGGGCTTTCCCGCATTCCAGAGTAACAGGTTCTTCATCCTTGCTTAATCCAACCATGGAAAACGGGCTTTGTCCCCAGGCACTGCCCTTCCCTTGGCCCAGAGCTCTGCTGACCTCTATCTCCCACAGACCCCAGGCCCACCCCTTTGCCATCTCCCCTCCAGGAGTTCAAAGTCCCAACCTCCCAAGCATGCAGATTTGTCCTCTCCCTGTGAAGCACCTGGAGACAAAATGTGCTGCGACCCAGGAGGAAGCTTCCACACTTCTCACACTGTCTGGATGGAATTCTGCGGATAACTGAGGAATGCCCTCACATGGATGAAAAACCGGTCACACAGATACTACCACATAAAACTGAAAATCCCCAGCAGGTGACTCAGGTATCAGAAATTCTGAAGTGTGGCTCTGGAACTCCCGTAACTACTGGGCTGTGGCACCACACGGTGGGGCTGGTCTGGGTTGTGAGTGGCTTTTCTGTGACTCTTGGGTGCAGCGGACACACCTGCTCGGACTGATGCCATTCTGTGTCCGCTGAATTCTCTAACCATCTCCTTGGAAAAGCAAGTGCCCCGTGACTCCCAGGATCATTGTTTCTCTCAACCACCCTTACTGCTGTGCCTTCTGGACCACGTGCTGTGTGAGTCACTCCTGAGACGGAAGCTCTTGAACAGCTGAAGAGGTAGGTAGGTCAGATGTGTGGTCATATCAGGTGCCCTTCTCCCTCTTGACTGCCAGGTGGCTAAAGCAGGGATATGGGCTGTACGTGTGTGTGTGTGTGTGTGTGTGTGTGTGTGTGTGTGTATGTGTGTGTGTGTGTGTGTGTGTGTGTGTGTGTGTGTGTGTGTGGTATGTGCTTTGTGTTTCTGCCTACCCTCCCCCAGGTGCTGGCACTTTGCGCAGCTGGCTTGGTAAGCATGGGTCTGGGGATTTGAACTCAGATCTCCATGCTTGCCCAGCAAGCGGTCTTACCCATTCAGCCATCTCCCTAGCCCTCAGGCTGGGCTTCTTAAAAAAACAAGTATTTTAAGCTGGGCATGGTGGTGCACGTCTTTAATCCTAGCATTCAGGAGGCAGAGGCAGGCAGATCTCTGAGTTTGAGGCTAGTCTGATCTTCAGAGTGAATTTTAGGATAGCCAGGGCTACATAGAAAAATTCTCTCTAAAAATCACACACACACACACACACACACACACACACACACAATTTAAATTAAAACAGAATGTTGAATTAGTGCTATGTGCTTTGGTGGGAGGACAAGAGCAAGCTTGCTCTAGGCATTTTATACCAGCTCATGACTACCGTTTCTGCAAGTGAGTTTTCAAGCATCTGTGTGTATAAAGAAGATCCCCTGAGGGCTGGGAACATGTAGATGCCCCACTTGCAGATGCATACAACTGAAGGGATTTTATGCTGCACCAGACGGAAGTGAGACCTGCTTTGTTAAAAGGTTCCCTAGCATGCCAAGACATCAATGACCTTGTCCTTGAGCAAATGTGTCAAGCACAGACTTCTTGTGAATGCTGTGCCAGGCACAGAGTGAGCTCAGGTTTGGGACACTGACCCGAGGCTCTAATCATCTGACCCAGAGCACCTGATCCTGTTCTGGTGTTTGCTGTGGCCACTGAAGCTCACTGGGGCTTTGAAACTTTGGTAGAGGTCATGGCAGTGGGAATGGGAGGGGCCGGGAATTGAACTCCTCTTGGCTTCATGGTGACTCAAAATGCAGACCTCAAAAGGAAATGAGACAGTTTCTTCTTGAGCCCAATATGAGTGACCACAGCTTAGGAACATAGACTCAGGTTGTCTGAGTGTGCAAAGAGTTCAATAAAGTTCTTATAGTTACAGAACAAAACAAAGACACAAATCAAGGCACTTTTCAAATATATAATATTAGAGGAAATTTCAGATAGGTAGGTTATGACAAAGCAGGGGTTCTCTGCTATAGGTCCCAGATGCTATCTATGGCATTCTTAGATTTGGGTTTGATGGAAGATAGTGGTCTGCTAAGGATGCATTCCAGAGATTGCACATGATAGTAAAAAAGGTATTAGGTCAGAGCCAAGCAGTGATGGCTCACACCTTTAATCCCAGCACTTGGGAGGCAGAGGCGGCAGGATCTCTGTGAGTTCGAGGCCAGCCTGGTCTACAAAGTAAGTTCCAGGACATCCAGGGCTATTACACAGAGAAACCCTATCTCAAAAAAACCAAAAGAAGGGGAGCTGGAGAGATGGCTCAGAGGTTAAGAGCACTGGCTGTTCTTCCAGAGGTCCTGAGTTCAATTCCCAGCAACCACATGGTGGCTCACAGCCATCTGTAATGAGATCTGGTGCCCTCTTCTGGCATGCAAGCATACTTGGAGGCAGAATGTTGTATACATAATAAATAAATAATCTTTAAAAATAAATTTAAAAAAAAAACAAAAAAAAACCAAAAGAAAACAAAAAGATATTAGACAGAGGTGGACAATGGTTGGCTATTAAGGAAACGAAAAGAAAGGCCAAAGAAAATTTGGCTCTGAGTCTGCAATATTCCAATTCTCCAAGATTGTGAATTCCAATCAATCAAGTAACCTTGCAGAACTTTCAGCATAGCTATGTTTCTTTTCAAGGAATTTTAGTTCATACCAGTCCCCTGTGAGCCCTCCTGGACTTACGACTACGGGCAATCCATACTCCTTGGGTCTGGTTTTCCATTACTACTCTGATAGGGCTATTATTAGACCCAGGGATCCAGGAGGTTCTTGGTCCAGTGAAGAAATAATTCATCAACAAATGCAGATGGGACCATGGAAAGTCAGATGTCTTTAGCCAAATAATTGAATAGTATACTTCAAAGATGGCCAGAGCTGGCTAACCTGGGAAACGGCAGCAGTGAAGGACCTTGGGTTTGTCACTCCTCAGGAGGTTTCTGTATATTCAGGAGGGTGGTAGCATATTCATAGGGTGGATGATGCTGTTTTCCCTCTCAAATGAAGGCAGATCAGATCTTCCTTTTAGGGTATTTTTCCCATGATCCTTCTGTTAAAAAACCCACAAGGTGGGGGAAAGTGATGAAAAGTACAATGTCAACGCCACTGTAACGAGCCAGGACCGCCTGAGGATGCAGACCTTCCACAGGGTCATGACAGGATGACCCCGCTAGAGCCTGAGGTTTTGTTTTTAATTCTATTTAGTCTATTTATTTATTTGTATGCATGAGTGCTCTGTCTGCATGTACATGTGCACGCCCGGAGAGGGCATCGGAGTCTATTATAGATGGTTGTGAGCCACCATGTGGTTGCTGGGAATTGAACTCAGGACCACTGGAAGAGCAGCCAGTGCTCTTTAACCGCTGAGCCATCTCACCAGCCTGAGCCTGAGCTTTTGATACAGTAGAGAGAAAAGTGCTTGACTATAACAGTGCATTTAAAGACAGCTGCGGTTTCCTTGGTGTATTCGTTAGCTTCTCTGTTGCTATGCTAAAACACTGGCCAAACCAACTAGGGAAGGAAAGGATTAACTTGGCTTACACTTCCACATCACAATCCATCCTTTAGGGAAGCCAGGGTAGGAGCTCAAGGCAGGAACTAAGGCAGAATCTCAGAGAAACACTGCTTACAGGCTTGCGTTCTTATATAACCCAGCACCACCTGCCCAGGGATGGCCCTCCCATATCGATCACTAATCAATAAAATGCTCTGCATACTCACAGACCAGTCCGATGGAGGTAATTCCTTACTTGACCCTCCTCCTCCTGTCTGACTCTAGTTTGTGTCTGGTTGACAAAACTAACCAACACACTTGATTACCCCATGTCTAACTCCTTGCCCAAACAATCTCAGTGCTGGTGATATGTCATTGCCTTGAACATGGAGCGCACAGACGTATACATTCTTGTTACATCATCTAAGTAGAACCAGGGGGTTCTGGGAGAAGCGCCAATCACCAACTACTCCTGGAGCTGCTATCATAAAGTGGTTAAACGACTTATTTCTTTTGTTTGTTTGTTTGTTTTGGTTTTTCAAGACAGGGTTTCTCTGTGTAGCTTTGCGCCTTTTCCTGGAACTCACCTGGTAGCCCAGGCTGGCCTCGAACTCACAAGAGATCCTCCTGCCTCTGCCTCCCGAGTGCTGGGATTAAAGGTGTGCGCCACCACCGCCCGAACTTATTTCTTTTTTAAAATCTTTTAAATTATTTATTTATAGTTTATGCATGCGTGCTCTCTATGTATACCCGCATGCCAGAAGAGGGCATCATATCATATTATCAATGGTTGTGAACCACCATGTGGTTGCTGGGAATTGAACTCAGGACCTCTGGAAGAGCAGAGCTTTCATCCCATTACTCCAGTTGATGAGACCAGTGCTGGCAAAAGGAAGGTGCCAGCATAAACATGCTCAGGATCCCCAAGTCCATCTTTGGGGCACTGACATTAGCTTTGATTTACTAGAGGGGGGACTGGAGCAGGGCAAGGGAGTCGCATAATTAAGCGATCTTGGTCACATTGTGGTCTAGTTGTTCATTGTCTCAGTTCTGGTCCTTCAAGGTGATGTCTAAGAAGCCCTGATTTCTTGAGGGGACAAGCTGGTTACGTGGAGGTGACTGCTACTTCTTAGGGGATGGAGCATCTGTCTGTCAAGCTCTGCTGCTTTTTATCTCTAGAGAGCCCCTCCCACTCTCGGGAGCTCCGGTTTCCTTAATATTTTTTAACACACTTTTCTTAGTTACTGTTCTATTGCTGTGATGAAAAACCCTGAACATAAGCAACTGGGGGAGGAAAGGGTTGATTTCACTCACAGTTCCATAGAACAGTTCATCATCGAAAGCAGTCGGGACAGGAACTCATGCAAGGCAGGAACCTGGAAGCAGGAGCTGATGGAGGAAAGGAGCTGCTTACCGGCTTGTTCCTCATGGCTTGCCTAGCTTGCTTTATTATAGAACCTGGGACCACCTGCCCAAGGATGGCACCCCTTCCCCCCACTCCCCCACCCCACGCACGAGCGCGCACGCGCGCGCACACACACACAAGCTGCGCTCTCCTCCATCAATCACTAATTAAGAAAATGCCCTAACAGTCATGCCTCCTACAGCCCACTCTTAGGTAGGCATTTTCTCAGTTGAGGCTCCCTCCTCTCAGATGACTCTAGCTTGTGTCAAGTTGATGTAAAACTAGCAGACACAAGCGTGTGTCCTATTTTGCTTACCCCTACAACTGTTCGGGACTTTAATGAGTCAACAAACTTGGGAGCCACTGTTCCACACTGACCTTTGGTGTCCCTCACCCTAGGTCCCTGATTAATGCACAACTGGGTAGACAAAGTACCCTCCTACTCAATGCTCCTGTATCTCCAAGTTAGCGTTCTTCAATCACTGTGAACCAGGATTGTTTTGTTCTCTTCGAGGCAGGGTCTCATTGGCTGAGGAAGACCTTGAACTTCTGATTTTCTTGACTCCACCTCCCAAGTGCTGGGCGACAGATGTGCGCCATCACGACGGGTTTATGAAGTTCTGATGATGGAACTCCGAGCCTTGTGCACCGGTTGCTAGGCAAGCAATCCTACCATCTAAGTAAGGTACATCCTCAGCACTCTCTCAGGGATTTAAAACACCTTTCCACAACAAGTTCGAGACAGCTTGGATGCCGTTTTAACGTACCTAAGTGAACCAACCCTCAAAACCTGCCCTGTGGACACAGACGCGGCTCTGGGAGAGAACCCACAGGACTGTTAGAGGCCCTACTTGAGGGCGGGGCAGGTTGCCGAGGGTAGGTGGCTACAGAGCAGGAGCCACCCACGATCGCTGCTGCCAGCGGCCCTAGTCAAAGGAACTTGGCTGCACTTGAGGACACCGGCTCAGTCCACGCCGCTTTGCGGTCATCCTCAGAGCACCTCGGCGGTCCCAGTTGGCGCCCCAGGTCTTTTACTGTCCCCAACGGACCTGTGTGGAGCAGAGCAGCTGAGCCTCAGAACCTGCATCGGAGTCCAACGGCTCCTTTGCTGCACAAGCGCCCTAGCTAGCAAAGAACAGCCCGGTCTTGGAGTCTACTGAGCACGCGTGCTGGTCCGAGGCTCCCGTTATACCTCCCTCGCGGCAGTTCCGCCAGTGCGCAGGCGTACTAAGCCTCCGCGGCGCCAGGAGGCGGGCGTAGGGCGAGGGGGCGGAGCGAGCCGGAGCCTGCGGCTGCGCACTCGTAGGCCCCGCCCCTTGGGCTCGTCTACGGTGCCTCCGCGGTAGCTGTGCAAACAAGCTCGGTCAGCGTCCAAGTTGAGTCTTCGGAGGTGCTGGCCGCGGACGCCACCGACGCACCATGGCGTCTGCTGCTCTCGGGCTGACGCCGCGCTGGGTGATGGTCCTCGGCGCCACGCTGCTGCTGCTTCTGCCCGTAGCCTCTGCGCAGGAGCCTCCGGGAGTGGGTAAGGCCCGGGGGCCCAGGGAGCCTGGGGGTCGGGCAGGAGGGCTGCTGGGTCGGATCCAGGGCGGAGCCCAGCCCTGGGGCTTGGCGTCCTCTGTGCTCACGCCCTCTCTTGGAGCTGCGGGCGCCGCAGCCACTACTGGAGCTACGTCGTGCCCTAAGGCACAAAAGAAAGGCCGAGTCGGAACCGATGCTTCGGCACCTGCTTAGCAGCGGTCTGATGGGGCTTCCAACTCGGCGGGCATCTGCATTCCTACCTGTATCCGGTGCTGGAGCCCGCCTCTTTGAGGAGCTGAGGTCTCGCCAAATGCCTGACTCTAGCCCAGCACTGTTTCTTTTGGGGGAAATCGGGGAGCTGGCAAGTTGTGTCAAGGTCTGAAGCTGAGAGAGTTGGCTGGGTCAGCCTCCTGACCTTTGCAGCGAGTGTTGATGGGGCCCCAGCTAGAGGGAGAGTATTTTTCTCAACCATGTTAGCTCAGGCTTTCTCAAGGTGTCTTTACATTCTAGCCTGGCACGGTATGTTTTCTCTTTGTGACCTTGTTGCGTGTTGTCGCAGCTCTGTTTAAGTTTCTTATCTGCTCTCAGCTGTGCCTAGGGTCTGTGACTGCTGCACCTCAGCTATCTTGGAAAGTGTGACTAAAGGAGCTGACCCTCGCCATTCTGGCGACTTGGGGCCAGATTCCCCAGTGAGGACTTTAGAGCAGGCAGAATGCTGGAGAGAGAGCCTGTGGAGGCACAGGACCCCATATCCTGAGGGGTGTCTGCTGCATTGGTAGAATGCTCTAGTGAGGGGAGCACCCACATCCTCCACCTCTTGCCACAGAACATGTTCTAGGTGTGAGATTTCTACTACTTGACATTTTTTGTTGTTGTTGTTGTTGTTTCCGAGACAGGGTTTCTCCATGTAGTTTTGGTGCCTGTCCTGGATCTAGCTCTGTAGACCAGGCTGGCCTCGAACTCACAGAGATCCGCCTGCCTCTGCCTCCCGAGTGCTGGGATTAAAGGCGTGCGCCACCACCGCCTGGCCTACTGGACATTCTGTAGGAAGATGACTAATGTTTAAAACAATTTGACTTTACAAGGATACTGCAGAAATTTAAAGAATGCATCACAGTGAGCCCAAACTCATCGTTTTATTGTTGTTGTTTGGGGGTTTTTTGTTTTTGTTTGTTTGTTTTGTTGCTTGGTTTGTTTTGGTTTTGGAGACAGGATTTCTCTGACAACAGACCTGGCTGTCCTAGAACTCTCTCTGTAGACCAGGTTGGCCCCGAACTCACAAAGGTCCGCCTGCCTCTGCCTCCCAAGTGCTGAGATTAAAGGCGGGCGCTAGCACCGGCATTGTTTGAGACAGGGACTCACTATGTAGACCGGGCTGGTCTTGAACTCACAGGTATTTGCCTGCTAGTGCTTCCCAAGTGTTGCAATTAAAGGTGTGGACCACCATGCCTGGCCACACTCACCTTTTTAGTACTTTTGTGTGCTTCATTGGTGGGTTGACATCAAACCTGTAATGGATTAAAGATCCTTAGAGTGAAATTTGTAATGGTGAGGACACTTTGATAGGGCTTTTGGACCCTCACCAATGGTGTGTGGGGTCGCTGTCAGAGCTCCATCTTGGAACAAACAGTCCCTAAAAGGACTGCAGTTGTCATCCTCCATGGGAATACCCAGGCACAGTGGTGGCCGGTGCAGGTCCCTGGGTGGTGCGTCCTTCCAACTCAGTCTGCAGAGGATTCTGCAGCCCCCCTCCTTCTCTCCCTGAGGAAACTGCCTTCGTGAACTGTACGGAATGCTACTGTGTACATGCCTTCTGGGGTGCCCTGCTCCTCCTCCTCTCATTTCTCCTTGAACAACAGTGAGGTGGCCAGGACTACTTTGTCTAAGTGTAACTCCCCTGACATGACAGAGGTGCTCTCTGAGTTCTGTCACCAGAGTGGGCACCAAGCCTTTCCAAGTTTATTCTTCTCGAAGGCACAGAAGATGGCAGCCTGAGGCTTTCTGTAGCATAGATTTATGATAAATAACTTGTTTCCTTTGTTTTTAGTCACCTCTTTCCTGAATGTAGGTGTGTCCTTTTGTCCTGAATGCCTTAGTTGACTCACCTGAAACGTCAGGGACCTACTCAGGAATGAGTCACTATTTATTATCTTTCCATTTAATTATTAAAGTGAACGAGTCTGAAAGTTCTTGAAAAATAAGTAAATAGCACCTAAACTGAACTCTTAATTCATAACGCCTCCGAGTCAGGATGTTCATAGTCAGCACTGAGGAACCGCAAGGACACTGCTCTTATCTCCAACATGTGGTTGGCTGTGTCCTGTGATGGGGTAAGAGATACTGTGTGGCCTCCCAGAAATGTGAGCTGTAGGGCAGCAAGCTGTCAGTGTTTCCGCCTTGCCACATGAGTCTGGGAGTTATTTCAGCCAGGATGCCTGCCATTCATGCTTTCTGGTATACAGGATCCACCCTGCAGTTGGCCTGTGGAAGAGGAGGAGGAGGGCTGGCCCTTGGGGACTTAGATTTCCTAGTAATGGAGAGGCCCAGGGTGGCCAGAACTCATGATGTGTTTCTTGGAGCTCAGTTCTTTCAGTTCTCGAAAGTGTAGTTACCAAAATATCCTGTGACAGAGATCCGGACCTCGTCATTACTGGGGCCTCAGTGTTGGCTGATAGGAAGCAAGGCCATCCTTTCTTGTGGATGACTTTGAAAAAGAGCTGGAGAGTGGGTGTGTTTGACACACCCTCAGCTGTCGCCTTAATGAGAAAGATCTCAGTGCAGGAGTGTAGGAGAGCTGAGGGGTGGGCGGTCCAGTGAGCTCATGGGTGGTACAGCTCTCCTGAGTGACTTCATGCTTACCCCCCCACTCTCTCCCTCTCTCTGCTTGTTAGTGTCTTACCATAAATTATCTGGTCATTTAAACATGTTTATTGCAAATTATAATCATACAGCTTGTTGCTAATCTGACCAAATCATGGGAGTAAATTGTTGAGGTGCCTTGTACCCCTGCATTCTTCAGAAGCAATCCCCCCTAAGAGTGAGGATGTTCTCTGCTCAGGTAGAACATAGTTGCCAAGCTGGGGTGTTAAAATGGAACTCAACTGCTTGGTTTACTACACATTCCACACACAGATTTACCAATTTGCCTAGTGAGGTCCTTCTCTGTTCTCGACCTCTGAAACCTAGAGTCATTTTAAGTTGTTTCAATTTACATTTCTAATCTCCTCAGTCTCCTCTAAGCTCCTCAGTCCATCTTTGTCTTCAGAAAACCAGTCTGTAGAGGACCCGAGTTTGGTTTTTTTGTTTGTTTGTTTGTTTTTCAAGACAAGGTTTCTCTGTGTAGCTTTGCGCCTTTCCTGGATCTTGCTCTGTTAGCCCAGGCTGGCCTCGAACTCACAAAGATCCGCCTGCCTCTGCCTCCGAGTGCTGGGATTAAAGGTGTGTGCCACCACCGCCCTGCTGAGTTTGGTTTTTCTTTCTTTTTCTTTTTTCTTTTTTCCTTCAAGACAGTCTCAAGTATGTAGCCCTAGCTGCCTTGGAACTCACTATGTAGACCAGGCTGGCCTCGAACTCCTAGAGATCTGCCTGCCTCTGCCTCCTGAGTGCTGAGACCAAAGGCGTTTGCCACCACGCCCCCCTTGGTCTTGCCTTTTCTAGTCTTTGTGGATAGGCAGAGCTGGGATTAAGTGTGTAGTAGCGCCTGGCTGTCCCTCAGGTCGGCCCCAAGGCAGGAGGCAAGGAGCAGAGTAGGAGCCCAGGAGTCACCCTGCCGTGTGTGCTTGTGCCCCACCACTTAGTTTTGTCACTGTGTTTTGCGGATAGACCTGTGCTGTTACCTGCCTAGGTGCAGCCTTTCTTGAGTGTACCTCCAGGTCAGTGGCAGACCACCAGAGCCCAAGTATTGTCTTGGTTTCCTTCCGTCTTTTCGAGGCAGGATCTCTGTAACCCAGGCTAACCTGGAACTCTGAAACCCCAGGCCTCAACCTTCAAGGGCCGGGCTTACATGTATGCTCCACACCAGTTTTTCTTTTGAGATAAGTTTTTCCTTCTGTGAAATAAGAAAGCTTAAATGGATAAGTTTCCTCATGTAACCCGGCTACTGTAGATGCAGACTGCACCCAGCAAGCCGGTGAGCCAAGCATCTCCCCTCTAGTGTGGCCCCGGAAGCACTTGTTCTCACTCTCGGTGGGTGAGTGCCTATTGTGTAGAACTGCTTGGCTTGGAAAGGTGATCTTTGGTATAAGGCTTCTTTCAGCCTACATGGTGTTGCTCACTTTCATTTATTTTCCTTTTCTTTGTGCCTTGAAGTTGCTCCCCAATGTAGATACTCCAGCCTATCTGTCCATCCTTCTAGAAGTGAACCTCTGGGCTGTTTCCAGTTGGGTCATTGTGGATAGAGTTGCGGTGAGCATGCCTGCACAGGACTTTCTGTGGGTGTGTCTTCTGATGTCTTGAATAAGATACCACCTCTAATTCGCTTGCTAGCCGTAGGAGTGGCCATTTCTAAAAATGGCTGAGCCAGCTCCAGATGTGCACTCTTGTTGCTGTGTGTGTCCCTGGTCATCTCTATAAGTTCAGCCTTTCTTCTGCATGCATTTCCTTGCAGTTTTAATTAGCATTTCCCTGGCAACCTCCTTTAATGTGCATCTCTCCCCCTCCCTCCAGACAGGGTTTCTCTGTGTAGCTTTCGTGCCTGTCCTGGCTCTCACCCTGTAGACCAGACTGGCCTCGAACTCACAGAGGTCTGCCTGGCTCTGCCTCCTGAGTGCTGGGATTAAAGGCATGCGCCCCCGCCGCCTGGCTGAGTGCAGTGCTCTTTTCAAAGTGTGCTTGTTTTAAGGGATGGTGGGGAGAAGTAGTGGGCCCAAGTTGGATAGCATGAGAAATACTTGATTTATATGCCACTTCTGTACATTTGATTTGTTTGAGGTCAAGGCTGATAGCTGTATAGACTTTGACCCTTTCCTGAAAACAGTGCTGTGGGTGCTGGCAGGTGTCCCAGGTGCTCTGCATGATTAGAGCAGGCTGGCACCACCTGGCTTCTTGGGTCTGGGGAAGCTTGCCGTAGGATGATCTTGAGCTCTATAGGTAACTTTGCAAGCTTGGCTTTGCCTCTGGCATGTCACCTTATGGCTGTGGTCTCCTGCTCACAAGAGCATGCCGATGGCAGTAGGTCTCGGCAGGTTAGTGGTTGCACAGTTTTATGGTTCACCTGTAGAGGAGAACTGTAAAACACGGCTTGTTGGGTTTGGAATCTTCCTTCCCAGAAGGTTCCCTGCAGGTCGAGCTGTGGAATGAATGGCTTTTCTGGTGTCTTGCTTGCAGCAGGAATAAGTTGGGTGCCTTGAAGCAGGCCAGTGCCAGCAGAGTCTTGATCATCCCTGGCAGAGGTTCCCAACACCCGTGTCTTCTCTACCCTTCAGTGATACCTTTGTCTCTCCTGGCAGGTTGTTCTCTGTACACAAACAGATCCTGTGAAGAGTGCCTCAGGAATGTCTCGGTAAGTAATGTGGTTCAGACCCATGCCCTCAAGTCCAGGGCGGCGTGTGTGTTTGAAGCACTCTGTCATTTGGGAATTGTTAGGTGCTTTACATGATGGTTGTTAAATACCATTCCAGCTTCTCTCAGGCATCTGAAGCCTTCTCGTGAAAGGCGCAGGCTCCATCTAGCACAGCCAGTATCCATGACTTGGGTAGGCAGTGTGGAAGATATACCTTTCCTGAGCTGCTTGGGACAGTTGGACAACATCTAATATGTCGGCATTAGGTGACCAGGGCTGCTTGCCTCTGACTAGGTCTTCTCTAGAGGGTCATCCAACCTTCAAGACCAGTTGGGGGCTGGGATAACAACTTATATATACAATGGCGGGTACTTGATAGACAGGTACAGGGCTTGAAGGCACACTCAAGAGTGCCAGCATTCTCTTCCTTCGTGTGTGTAGTGCTGTGGGGTCATCTCCTGTGGTCGTGAGAGAGCTCTGGGCCATGTGGTCCCCTGGGAAGACCCAGCCAGCTTGTTTACCCTTTGTCCTGTTCTTTAATTCCTATGTGCCCTCCAGTCAAGGTGGCTGCTATTCTGGAGCAAAGGTCTCTAATCTTCCACTCTAGGAAGTGGGCCTAGGACTCATGAGGGTGCCTTCTGATGGCTCATCCTGGGTGTTGATGGATCAGACATTCATCTGCCCTCCTGGGAGAAGCGGACCAGCAGTGGGAAAATAGCTTCACAGCAGAGATCTCTAGGTATCCTGTGAGGATGCTCAGCTTCTCCAGTGTGGTGGCCTGCTCTTTGGTGGGCCTGGATGCTGCTCCTTGAGGCTGAAGAGTCTGCTTGGGCATGTGTAGCCCAGTGCTCTGCAGCTTATCTTGGGAACCTTCAGGGAGGAACGGAAGTGGAGCAGCAGCTGATCAGAAAACAGTCTTCAGAGGCTTCCCCCGGGGACTCCAGGGGGCTTCATGGCACCCTAGGGCTGTGCAGTTGCGTGTCCCTCCCTGACAGTGGGTTAAGGACAGCACAGATCAGGGTGGTGTTTCCTCTTGGCCTCCTCCACAGGACAATAGGAGCATCACAAGCCGCAGTACCCAAATAACCAATAAAAGTATTATGAAAAAAAAAGGCAACAGTAGTTTTTTAAAGTGACAGCAGTGCAGATTCAAGACATGTCTTGTCACTTGGGGAGACTCCAGTGGGCAGTAGGATCTGCTGACTAAAAATGAGCAGCTACTCTTGCCTCAGTACTGACACTGGTAGTCCAAATCTACTACCCCAGGGGCGAGTGATTTCTTGACTCTTTCTAGGTTCTAGTTTGTTTTTCCTCTAGGAGGTTATTTCAGCCATAAAAATAGCTTTTTGTTGTACTAGCCTTAGAACCTCATTACCCTGGGTTGTGTGTGATGAGGACAGAGTCCAGAGAGGGACCTGCCCAGGTCACAGTGGGTTGGTCTAGTCAGGTAGAGCCTGAGGCCTAACCCTGCTCTGAACCCAGACGGCAAGGCTTCAGTAAGGCAAGGTGGAGAAGGCCAGCCCAGGCCCAACCAGCCTGCTTGGAGACAGGGTTCTGGGAAGAGATAGAGCCCTGTAGGCTTTCAGAGGACCAGTGGGTTCCTTAATATGCTGTTCCTTAATGCTGCTGAGTTGTCCATGGGCCCCTTACTTAGTTAAAAGGACTAGAACAACACACATTGCGAGTGCTGTGTTCTCATTGGAGCTCGGAAGGTTAGACCTTGTGACTTGAGCCCTTTTTAAAGTGGAAGAGGAGCCAGAGATAATGCAGGACAGGACCCCTGGGGTGGAAGATGTTCTCAGTAGCAGGATCTGCAGGACTCTGCTCCTGTTAGCCACACAGTGCCAGGAACCACTGTGAATACACAGTGGACATTGTGCAGTAGCCCAGCACCTGTTTAAATGTCCCTGGAATAGATGTTACTCCAAATTGAGACCAAACCTGGTCTTTAATCTTGTTGAAGATCCAGTGAGATGCTCACTCGGAAGAGGTGTGATCAGAAAGATGTGCTCTTGGTTGGCTCTGGCAGGGTCCGTGCTCTGGACAGCAGAATTCTTTTCCCCTGGGATGTGTGTAGTCTTCCCAAGGACACCTTCCTAGGTCAGCTGTCCTGTACGCTGGTCGTCCTCAGCCCTGTCTAGCACCGTGGGGTGGGGATGGTGGGTCCTGCTCTGAGTTCTGACGTGTGTTGGTGTGACAGTACTGTCTCCTCACTTCCATTCCCACCCGACATCTGAGGGGCTTAGACAAGAGCCCCCTGGAGGGTCTCCTGCTCTCATCCTTGGTTGTATCATTCTTCAAAACCAGACACTTAGTGCAGTAGAAAGATGGAGACACAGGACCTACAGTAGTGCCTCCCCTGAGTCCCATCATCTGCTCAGCAAATACCTCAGGAGCACCTGCCTGCTGAATGCTCAGGTTTCCCTGTCCTGTGTCTCTGGTGCTCAGTGAAGGCCACAGTTATCCGACTTCCTGCACAGTGTGAGGAGGCATGCTGTGGGAGGAAGCAAGCCATGTTGTTGGTCAGGGAATGGGACTTGGGTGGTTGGTTTCAGGGCAGGCCTCCTTGAGAATGTGAGGGAACCATTCTCAGGCTTGAGGAAGAGGGCTCTAGAGAAAATAAGCAGACTTCAAAGTCTCCACGAGCAGGGCAGCTATCAGGTCTGTGTGGCCCTGTGGGGTGGACAGGGATGCCAGCCACCATGTTGGACATTGACCAAAAGATAACAAGGATGAGTAGGAGGATTTGGAGGAGGCATAGCTTAGATCCATCCATCCTAGAGAGATGGTGGCGTGGGTGGCATTGAAGACAGGGAGGTGGTCTTGCCCCGGTCTGTTGAAGGTCTCCTGATGCTGGTCTCTTTCAGTGTCTGTGGTGTAACGAGAACAAGGCATGCTTGGACTACCCAGTGAGAAAAATCTTGCCCCCTGCTTCTCTTTGTAAATTGAGTTCTGCTCGCTGGGGCGTGTGCTGGGGTAAGTTGTTTTCATTTACTTCTCGAAAAAGCAGTGGGTTTGGGTGAATCTGGGACCTTGTGCTCAGTCAGCAGAAGTTACTAGGAAGTTACCAGGAATGTTGCTGTGCTGGGACTCCCAAGGGAAGAAGCAGGGTGTCCTGTGCTGGTCTGCTGTTTGCCAAGCAGCCAGGGACCCGGAGGGCTCCCTCGGAGAGAGTCATTAGCCACAGCACTGCACAGCCCACCTCGTGGGGGGTGGGGAAAGGGCTCCTGTAAAAGCCCGTTTTTATGTTCCTGTGTATGATGTGCTACCTGGGAGCCTGCGAGCCTGCGTGGATTCCCTCGAGCCCGTCATCCCCAACCGAGGACCCTGTTAGCTAGTTACCTGTCTGTGTGTGTCTGTGGAAATTAGCCCTATGTGGTTCGACTTGCCCTTTAAGTATTTTGCTGCCTGGAACTCATTTTCCTGTAGAGAGCTGTTTGTTTACCTTTTGTGGTGGTAGGTTTGGGGTTGCACAGGCCTCCTCCAGCCTGGTGAAGGAGCTGATGTTTCTCAGAGCACTGGGGATAAGGGGGTTGTTGATGGTTCCTCGTGTGTTTGCATCATGGGTCCACTGCCCCTTACATCTTGTTTAGCTATCTATTTAAAGACGACCTCAGGCTCAGAATCTGTCAGCCTCCCCCCAGAACAACTTGGCTGTTGTAAAAGCAAGCCCAGGGGATCCAGAAAGCAAGGAGGGCTGATACCCTGTGTCTGTGTGGTGTGTCTCTGTCTGTCCTGACCCAGGAAAGCCTCTGAGGTCTCGGCACTGCCCACCTCTGTCTCCTGCTCGTGCTCTTTCCTGGACTGGGCGTTGGCTTTGGAACACTGATTGCCACTCAGGCCTCTCCCATCAGTGTGTGTCTGTGGGTTCTCAGAGAACACAGAGGACAGTCCTAGAGCTTCTGGAAGTGTCCCCTCCCTCCAGGTCCTGAGCTGGCCTTCACAGAAGGAGTCTTGCTTTGTGCTGCCTTCTCTACGGCTGCTCTAAGATGGCCCAGCCTTAACTGTTTTGACCGGCTTACTGCCATGTCACCTCATCTGTTTGCATCCCTCCAAGCATTGGGGACGTCTGCCTGCTCCGGATCCTTTCAGCATAGAGGGCGTTTACTTGTTTTACCTTCACTGATTGGGTGGTGTGTGCAGGATTGGGAGCTGTGGGTCTGACTCTGATGGCTGAAGGTGCTGAGCTGTTTCAGGTGGTAGGTGCTCTTGTAATTGTCCTGTGCAATGCAGTTCCCACCCAGGTTACGGGATGGCTAAACAGCACTCCCAGCGCAGGACAGATGGAGGTGCATGTGTGCTCACCACGTGCTGCCAGCAGAGTGGGCTGGTGGCTGTGGAAAGCAGCCTTGTACTGGCAGGGGAGCAGGTCTGCCTCTGCTTCCCAGCGAGTACACTGTTGGTTACTTCTGAGGGACTGATACCACTACATGGGAATACAAGCAGGTGGGCCTGCTCTTGTGATCAAGGGGGTTGTCGGACTGGGTTCCTAATCCCCTGAGCAGAGTGGCACTTGAGGTTAGCCCACTTAGGCTCCTGGTGTCACCATAGGTACCAGTGGCTTGTCAGGATTGTAGGCCTGCACCATGGACAGTCAGTCCTTACAAATAATTTCAGAGTCATTGTTTTCCTCCTGTAGGAAAGTGGCTATAATTTTTATTCAGGGTTTTCATTGTAGTGACTTTGAAGTGTTAGGTTCATTTGCGGAAAAATGGTCTTTACGTGTTGATCTTTTGCGCTGAGCAAGGAGTCACTCATTCCTGTCAGACCACGTACGTTTGCACCCTCCAGTTGAGTTTCTCTGGAGGGTTAACAGGTGCTCACAGACTACTTTTTCCATCATGACAGGATTTCTGCTTCATCTGTAACTGACTTGAGTTGCTTGTCAGAGAAGCTGTGGGAGGAGATTGGATTTAGTTAGATCCAGCTGTCCTGATGTTCTCACTTTTTAGGTTGACTTACAGAATTCCGTAGTCAAAAACTACCACCTACTGATGGCGGCCGAGGAAGGCTCCTTTCTAACCACACCGGCTGCTGCCTTTTGCACTTTCAGGCTAGGCAGGGGTGGATAGACACAGGGTTAGAGCTCAAGGCTGAAACTGAAAAGGAGTCTGGGAGCTGAGTACAGTCCCCTGCACCGAGGCTGGCTGGGGAAGCCCAGGAGCTGGCCCCAGCCTTCCCTGAGGCCTCCTGTTGCCCAGCTGCACAGGTGCCTCCCTGGCCCAGCAGAACCTGCAGCGGACACCTGGACAGCTATATGTTCTGAATTTCTCTTGAAGATCTTTACATGAAAAGCAGTCAGTTGGGTCGGGTGCCCTAGTGCACACCTTTAATTCTGGCACTCAGGGCAGAGGCAGGCAGATCATTGAATACGAGGTCTGGTCTCCAGAGGGAGTTCCAGGACAGCCAGGACTACACAGAAAAGCCTTGTCTCAGAAAACTGAAAAATAAAAGTAAAACCAGTCAAGACTTTTCTACTACCCCAGTTGAAGCAGAGCCAGTTCAGAAGAACCTTAAAATTTATTTTCAGTTTGTATCTGTTCCTGAAGGTTGGCTGTACCAGCATGTCACCTCACTGAGTGACACTGGTCAGTCATTTTCAAATACCAGGGCATCTGTAATGCTCGGATGTACATGTGTTGGTGGTCAGGGCACTTCCCTTTCTATAGGTAGCACTAAGGAGTCAGGAGGTCTTGGGAACAGACACAGGTGACACCTTTCCTTCTTTCCGTCTTAAGTGGGGGGAAAAGGGATGTCTTGTCTCCTTGGTTCATTGTGGTTAATCTAGAAATTGTAAGTTGTAGACATTGGTTGAAGGGAGCCATGTGCCCAGGCCCTATGTTTAGGGCTGCTCCTGGGACAAGCAGTGGTACCCTGTGGGTGGAGGCAGGTCACAGGTGCCGAGGTTTCAGCTTTGTGCCTGGACTTGCAGTGAACTTCGAGGCCTTGATCATCACCATGTCAGTGCTTGGGGGCTCCGTGCTCCTGGGTATCACTGTATGCTGCTGCTGCTGCTGCCGCCGGAAGAAGAGCCGGAAGCCAGACAAGAGCGACGAGCGGGCCATCAGAGAACAGGAGGAAAGGAGAGTGCGGCAGGAGGAGAGGTGAGGCTGTGCTCGTTGCTAAGGAGCTTGCCTCTGAGTTTGCAGCAGAGAGGCCGTGGGGAACAACAAGGGTTATGAGTCACATGCTTTCTCCATTTCTGAGACTGTAGCATGTGTTTGTTGTCCAGCATTTCCCGGCTGTAGTTAAAAGAGAAGCTCGTGGTGGTCTGTGTCTCAGACCTCAGGCTGCCTGGCCTACCTACCTCTTCCACTGGTAGAGGAGGCGGGCAAGCCTGTGCTACAGTGCTCCTGTACGGGCCAAGGCCCAGCCTTGGGTACTGCCATTCCAGCCCCAGCCCCCAGTGATGAAGTAACCTGACTGCTGTTAGAGACACTGGCTTGTGCCCACTAGTTCCGGGAGCACTGAATTCTCCTAATGCGTGCTGGGGCCTCGTGCTTGGAGGCAGGTGATGATGATGCTCTCAGCTCTGAATCGGGTACCACTAAGCAAATGTTAACAGTTGCCTTTTCCTGGTCACCTGATGCAAGCCTTTCACCCATCTGCATTTTCTTCAAAAGAACTTTAAAAGATCACAGTTTTAGACATTTGAATTCGTTTTTTGGTTTCTTCTTCTTCTTTTTTTTTTTTTTTTTTAAGATTTATTTACTTATGTATACAGTGTTCTGTCTGCATGTATCCCTACACACCAGAAGAGGGCACCAGTCTCACTATAGATGGTTGTGAGCCACCATGTGGTTGCTGGGAATTGAACTCAGGACCTCTGAAAGAGCAGCCAGTGCTCTTAACCTCTGAGCCATCCCTCCAACCCTTGGTTTCTTCTTTTGTGGGGGGGGTCTCACTCCATAGCCCAGCCTGACCTTGAACTCTGCATCCTCCTGTCTCGGTCTTGTGAGTGCTGGGAGAGGTGGTTACCACCATGTCCGGTTAGAATTAGTTTATGGAAAAGACTAGAAGGGCCATCAGAGCAGCCTCAGCAGACAGACTTTGCAGTCACCCTGCTGGTCAAGTGGTAGGTGTGGCCTAGTGGCCACAGTCATCCCCACCTTCTCTTGGGGAAGCTTGTAGAAAGTGCTGCAGGAGCTCCTAGCCTTGGCTACAAGAAGTGAAAGGCCTGGGAGTTTGCGATGGCCTTGCTTGTCTGTCAGAATTTGATGCAACTTGCTTTTTCTGTATTTTTTAGGCGAGCGGAGATGAAGTCAAGACACGATGAGATCAGGAAAAAATACGGTAAGAATGAGAAGTGTCTCTCTGGACTGGTTGGGATCTGGGCAGCTGCTCTTCTTCTGGAGACAGCAGCTGTGCAGTTCCCAGGGCACCACCAAAGACTGACTGTACTGAGAGCCTCAAAGGAGGAAGGCCCTGCAGGTTTTTAATCTCAGCCACACGTTTTCTTTGGTACTCACGAAGAATAAAAACTTGAGGAGGGTCGCTCGTAGCTGTTGGTCCATTTGCCTTAGAGCAGGATCTGCGTGTGTTGGTTCTGTGACAGAACAACAGCCTTGGTTCTGGGGGTTCTGGCCTGTCTCTGCAGCCTTTCTCTTCTTCTGTCTTCTGATGGGGTCAGAGAAAGGCCTGCCATCTCTCCCTCGCTGCTCTCTGGCTGCAGAAGACTCTGGGGAGCGACTGTGAGGGAGCCAGCCTGGTCATAGGTGCCAAGTGTAAGCCTGTTTGGTTCAGTTGGAGTGAGTCAGAAACCCTGGCTCCAGCATCACACACTACCCTGCTTGTGGTCCTGGTTAGTTGCTGCTCCCAGCTGGTTTTAAAGCTCAGAAAGGGCACAAGAGCTTTCTGCCTGGACTTTACAGCTGCAGGGATGGGTACTGCAGGGGTGGGTGCTGCAGGGGTGGGTGCTGCAGAGGCTGACAGCTCACCCACCGAGACAAGGGGCCTTGCGCTGCATGAAGGCTCCAACTGTAAACCCACGTTTTTTGGCCTTGAACCACTATAATTTTTTTGGCAGGGTTGGGGGGTTCAAGACAGGGTTTCTCTGCATAGTTCTGGCTGTCCTGGAACTCACTGTGTAGACCAGGCTGGCCTTGAACTCACAGAGATCCGCCTGCCTCTGCCTCCTAGTACTGGGATTAAAGGTGTGCGCCACCGAAGCCCAGCTTAAATCACTATCTTTTTGTTTTCTTTTTTTTTTAGATTTATTTATTATTATGTATACAGCATTCTGTCTGTATGTATATCTGCAGGCCAGAAGAGGGTGCCAGATCTTATTACAGATGGTTGTGAGCCATGTGGTTGCTGGGATCGAACTCAGGACCTCTGGAAGAGCAGTCAGTGCTCTTAACCACTGAGCCATCTCTCCAGCCCCTTAACTATCTTAATGGGAGAAATCTGATGAAGAAAATTTTAAAGTCTTTCCCAAAAATATGCATTGAAATTATTTCATTTATTTATATGTGTGTGCGAGCATTAAAATTATTTCATTTATTTATATGTGTGTGCGTGCATGCATAAATGTGCTATTGTGCACATATGGAGGAGGTCAGGGGATGTCATGTGGGTCCTGGGGTCATCAGGCTTGGTGGAAGGATTTTACCTGCTGAACCCCATCTCACCAACTCCTAATATCTGTGAGTTCGAGGCCTACCTGGGTACAGAGTAAGTTCCAGGAAAAGTACAAAGCTCCACAGAGAAACCCTGTATCGAAAAAAAAAAAAAAAAAAAAAAAAGCAATTTGGGGGTCATTTTTTTATATAAGGAGATAGCATATTTGTGATGCTTCAAGATCTTACCCACTGGGAACATTATTATATCACTGTGTGTGTTAGCTTTCCAGTGTTGAGACAAAATGTCTGAGTTAAACATCTTTAGGGAGGAGGGCTGTGTTTTGGCTCTCAGGGTCACAGGTTTCTGTCCAGGGTCCACTGCTGTGTCCTGTGGTGAGGCAGAGCATGGTGGAGGAAAGCTGCTCACCTCAGGACAGCCGTGAAGGAGTTTGGGGAGACAGCAGTCGGAACAAGGAGGACTCTTTAAGGACCTACGCCCTCCGGCTGGGTCCTTACACTGTCTCCTGATACTGCCAGCAGTTTAAGAAGCCACAAATGGGCGGGGCGGTGGTGGCGCACGCCTTTAGTCCCAGCACTTGAGAGGCAGAGGCAGGCTGATCTCTGAGTTCGAGGCCAGCCTGGCCAGCCTGAGCGAGTTCCAGGACAGGCTCCAAAGTGACACATAGAAACCCTGTCTTGAAAAAACAAACAAACAAAAATTCCACAAATGGAAGCCAGGCATGGGAGCACATACCCTCCATGCAAAGCAGAAGCAAGTGGATGTCTTAAGAGTTAGAGGCCAGCCTGGTCTACACAGGAGATGTGGGAGCCTGCTTAGAACTGTGGTTAAATCTTGATGTAAAACTTAGCTGAGGAGTGCTGGTTTTGCCGCTGATTGTTTTGCAGGAGTGGGGTGAGCAGTTTGGTTTGGTTTTGTCTTTGTCTTTGTTTGGTTTGGAGTTTTTGAAACAAGGTCTCACTGTGTAACTCTGGTTGGCCTGTTCTCCACTGGTAGAACAGACTGGCCTCTAACTCACTGTCTCTGCGTCCCGAGTGCTGGGATTAAAGGTGTGCAAGCCTAGCCTCTTGGTTTGATTTATTTTTCTCTTTGAGACAGTTTCTTATTCTGTAATCCAGGCTGGCCTCAAACTCACAGCAGTCCAGTTCTAGGATTATGGGTATAAGCCAGAACACCCAAGGCCATACATTGCTTTTGTGAGTTTTGTTTCCAGTTGAGTGGGTGAAGTTGTAAGTTAATTTTTTTTTCTCCCTCAGGTCTGTTTAAAGAACAAAACCCATATGAGAAGTTCTAAAGCAGCTGGCATATACTTATGGCGGATCTTGCAGTCCCAGAGTTTCCTGGGAGTGCCCTCCTGAGCATAGCTTGCGGAGACCTTACCACTACAACCACCCATGACCTGGGTCATCCCTCCAGCTTCAGCACAGGCACCAGAGTGGCCTTGAGAGGACAATCCTGCTCTTGTTCCCTCTATCTCTGTATGTAATCACCTGAGACGTTAATCTTGGTGACGACCTTTTTTGGGGGAGGAAATGTACTGGTCCCCACACTACAAAAGCCGGCAGCCTGAGGCCTGACTGGCTGTGAGTGACCCTGATGCAAGAGTCACATTGCAACAATGAAGTCATATTTACTTTGTTATGACAAGAATTGACCCACCATCCCTGCTTTCCCAAGGCTGTGTTGTGACTGCAAGCCTGTTTCTATGACATGTCATTGTCCCCACAATCTGGTACCCAGCTATATCTAGTAACACAGGAGTGTATAAAGTCACCCGAAGTCTTTAGTCCCTCAGGAAACAGTCTTACCAAAACCTTTCATGAAAGGTCCAGGCCTTTTCTTGGATAGCGTTTTTCAGTTGTCTTTAATAGACTGAGAATTCCCACGGATTCTGAGTTGTGAATTCAGTTTGACCCTCCCTCCTGTGATTGCTAAGTCTTCTGCCTCAACTTCTCCAGCTGTGGTGGTGCGTGGAGTCACGTGTCCTCAGAAGGGCTTTTGTGCAGCCCTTGGACATCTCCCCTCTACCTGTCAGGCTGCCCTGTTGGTCCTGTGTGCATCATGAAGGATGAACAGCTTGTCCACTGGCCAGCCCATCGGGGAAGCTAGGAGGACCCCACCCTGTACTGCCTACCCAGAAAACTGCCTGAGCAGACACACCCACCCACCTCACTTCCCACCCTGCTTCCAACCATGGCTCGGCTCCCTGTGTCTGACACAGCTTGTCACGGCACACGAGGGTCCCCACGATTCCGGAAATCCAAGCTTGTCACTAGTGTCATGAGCTTGATGGCAGGAAAGCTATTCCCCTGGGAAATCAGCCGCCAGCAGATGAGGTAGCCTTACAACAGGCTCCCTCATGCCTGGACACCTCATCTAGCAGCTCGGTAACCCTTTCAACTCTGTCAGTCTGTCCAGGGATTAACATTTCTCCCCTCCAATTTTCACAAACTAAGGGAATGACCTTTACCACTCTGGAGTCTTACCATTTTTCTGCCTTGTTAGGCATTTGATGTAATTTAAAGCATTGTCAAACATTTAAGTATTATAGCAGCCATTGAGATTTGCCTTTCTACTGCCTGTTGATAAGGAATCCTCCTCACAGGCCCTGATGAACTTTGTATTAATATGTAGCATGTATAAATCATACTTTTTAGGTTGCTGAGCTGATGTTAGAGTGACCAGCTGCTAAATGCAGAGTATTTAATTCTCCGGTGTAGAAATGCAGCAGGTGCTCACAGGACTGCCTGGTCTGTGCCCAACTCTGAGCAGCACGAGGAGCAGCCACAGACCTACGCTGAGACCGTGACACCCAGTGCCTTACTTTTTAACCACTTTCCAATAAAATGGTTGGATATGGCTTTGAATTCTCTCTCTGTGTTTTGTCTTAAGGGTGGGCTGGGGCTGTGAGCTTTCCAGTTAAGTCGATCTGCTGGGCTTGTCCTGTGAACTGGGTACCATGCCCCACAGGGACTGAGTAGGCCAGTCCGGGAGTGGTCAGCGCTCCCTGCCCTCAGTGTAGAAAGGTCCTCATTGTCACCCTGTCCAGTCCCACCCCACCATGCTCAGTCTTCTGCTTTTGTCTTGGTACAAAGAAGTCAGAAGAAGTTGCTCTGCATGAATGCCAACTGACACTGGCACCTGGGCACCCTCCCTTGGCATGTAGCACTGGATTCTTCAGCCCTGGAGTCTGAAGTAGAGGGCCTGGCGATGTAGCATAGATAAGGGGTGTGGGTGTCACTGTGTCTGCCTGTGACAGGCTGTCGGCTCCCAGGGTCCTCAGTCCCAGAGCTCACAGTGGCTGCTTGAACCTGTTGTCCATTGTAGTAGAGGATAAAGAGACACATGGGGCTGAGGATGGAAACTGACTCCCTTGCTTTCAGGTTAACACTAGAGTAAGGGACACTGGCCTGGAAGTCCAGGAACCAGAGCATAATGATCCTGAAAGCTGCGGCCAAAAGGAGGCAGTCAACAGCCTGTTTGCTCAGGGTTCACACTGCAGTGATAGTCTGCCCTCTTGAGGCCTGCGCCTGGACTGCTGGTTCCAGGAGACACAGGCCCTGGGACAGGTATACCCATGGACACTCCCAATTGTTGACCTGCAAACAGCACCCTGCCCAGGCTGCAGACCACAAGAAGTGAGGACAGGTCCTGAGCAGATGGGAGCCCACTCACCCAGCCTTGGCCTGGAATCACAGGCCTTTGTAGATTACTCTGGGCAAATTTTCACCATAAATGCTGACAGGCTAGGAAATTCTAGGGGAGTGTGGGAAAGCCAATGGGAGTCCTGGGGGGTCCAGTTGGCAAAGATACTAGATGTGTTGAATCTTTAAGTGTTCCATGGGAGCTACCTGGGAACTGTTTTAGGTCCAAGGACATCCTCAACTTGGGCTTTTAGAGTCACTTGTGGAAAAATAGTGTAATGCAGTTGGGTTGAAGAAAGGTTTACTCAGCAATTTCCTTTGCAGACAGGGGAGCATGCTGGGGCGGGGGCGGGTACATCAATGCCATGCTGTCAGCTGACTATGTGTCAGAACCTCACCTGTCTGTCACCTCTAACCCCCACTCAGTCCCACAAGTGGTACTCAAAGAGCGAGCAGTCTTCCACCTTGTAGGAGAGTCGGCCTTATCTTTGAGCTCTGGTCCCACCTTTGGAGCTCAAGCGGAAGCTGGGAGGCAGGGGAGGCCCACAGCTGAGGCTCAGACAGCCTTGATCCAGGGCTGCTGTTGTCTCTTGCTCCACCTCTGTGTTCTGGGAAAGGTCTCCCACAGACACCAGTGTCATCCACAGCTAGAGAGGACATGATGAAAGTAGACAGAGACAGGGAGCCGGGCAGCCAGAGGAGAGAATCAGCAATGGGCTGCTTAGCACCAGTCAACAGTGCACCCTGGGTAAGAACCACAACCAGAAATAACCAGCCATGCCAGTATGAACCACCCAGCACTCTGCCCTGGCTTCCTCTGGAGAAGCGACTGGGTCTCTGAGCACGCTAGCTCAGGTTCTCAGCTCTTCTTGGCATCTCTACATTCTCTGCCTCCCCTCCCCGCTCCACACACTGCAACCCTGAGAGACTCTCCACCCCAAAGACGACCTCTGAGGCCTTGTCCCAGCATCTGCTTCCTTTGAATTACCTCAGAAAGTTACCGCCTGACCCAGAGAATGTGACTTAAGCAAACAGCAGTGAGGTGGGGCTGGTCATGGTTGGTTTTTGTGCACCACCTCGGACTGGGTGAGAGGTGGCCACAGTCGTGCATCTGTCAATGCTCCAAGGAGAGTAAGGGATAGTTTATTCTGAGTCAAATATGTGTGACCATGGCCCAGGAACATGGATGGAAGGGATTATCTGAGTAACCTCAGTCTCTCAAATATTATCAATGCCATTCTTAGCCTTTAGGGCTGGTAGGAATTCTAAGTCGGCACTTCCAAAAGTTTTCCATAATAGTCACAAAGCTGTTAGGGCTGATACAGAGAGCACTGATGATAAAGACAGGATAGTTTGGGCTCTGCAGCTTTCCATCCACCCATCAGGAGATCTGCACAGACCTCGCTTCCTCAAAGAACGTCACAAATCCAGTAAACACTCTTTCTGGATGAAACTGGACTTGGGGTTGGAGCACCGAGCAGAACCAGTAGCCCTCCCAGTTTGGGTAGAGGTGGCCTGAATGCCTATCTGCATGTCATGACCCTGCTAAATTGGATCTGAGTTTTTAAGTGTGTCTGACGTCGTGAGAGTAGAGTAAGTATACTGTGCTGTGCTTATGGGTTTGGGTGGTGGGGGTTACACTGCCTTATAGTTGAAGTCTAGGTCTGCTGGCTCTCCCTTTGTCCAGAGAGCCATGATGGATGAGGGCTGTGTCCTTCACTTTGTCAAGGGCCTCCCTACCAGCCATGGTCTTCCCTGGCACCACCCTGTCCTGTTTTCCAGTGAGTGCCCCATGATGGTATATGCAGGGGTGCAACATATAGGTGGTATCTAGGTGGTATCTGCATGGCGTGCTCAGCTCCCAGGGCTGCATTGCTGGCATCATCAGTCCACATCTGCCCTTGAGCAACGATCTGCGAATACTTCCTTTATCTTGTCACATCTTCTAGCCTGCTTTCATGGAAAAGCCCCTCTTCCTTTTTCTTTTCTTTTTTTGGTCTGCTGTGAGTGGTGCTTATGTCTGGCCTGTGTTTGGGTTCCAGCTGGCCGACCACCCTGCCGATCCCAACTTTGTGGTGGGATAGACAGCCCTGGCTCTGCAAGTCATTGGTGCTTCCTCTTGGAAGGAGGGCAATGTTCTCTCACTTTGTAGGGTCTGGGTAGGACCACCCGGTCTTTGCATCATCTTGTCCATGTCTGTAAACAGTGTGGATGGTAACCACTTCACACCATGAACACATGAAGGCTGGGGAGCTGCAGTTCATGCCAACTCTGTGGAAACACCTCATGCTGTGACTTCCGGAACTCCCTTACATTGTTTCTACAAACTAGTTAAATGGGTTGAGTTTGTTTGTACCGCTGTTATATCCCTAGTGGTTTGAAAGCCATTGCTAATTTTCTTGAGCTGATCCTACATTTTTTTTCTTTGCCAAACTCTTTTTCATTGAAACTAAATATCAACACAGCAAAGCACATTCATAACAAATATTTTATGTATTTAAACGCCTATCATTCTGTTAGCACCTGTCTAATATCTAGATCTGGGTTTACATCTTGAGCCAGGCCAGGGCTGTGGTTTGCTTCTCTCCATGCCTCTCCCACTCCCCATTCTTCTGCCCACTGCATGTGATTATCTGGGATGTCAATCTCAGTGACTGCATTTTTTTTATAGTGTGCACCAAATGTAAAGCATTAAACATAAGTTGTACTCGCTATCTCTTTAGGCCAGGAAATACCTCACAAAAACTTGCCCTTCTGGGAAAGAGTGATGACTCCAGATTTTTTGCAGCCGACCCAACACACAGGTCTTGCCTGATTTTCTCAGTCATGAGTTCCATTTGTGCTTTGGGCAGTACATTGTTAATGGAGAGTGTGTGTGTGTGTGTGTGTGTGTGTGTGTGTGTGTGTGTGTGTGTATGTGTGATATGTGTGTGATGTGTACGGGTGTGCATACGCCATGGTGATCAGAAGGCAACTTTTAGGAGTCAGTTCTGTCCTTCCATCACGGGTTCCAGGGATCAAGCTCAGGCTGTGAGGTTTGTGGGGCAAACACCTTTACTTGCTGGGCCATCACATGGCCTTTTGATGACCCTTTCCCTGAGCTCTTTGAGGATTTCTGAAAACGACCAGGAACTTATCTGCCCTACTCTTCACTGCTTCCCACACCACAGGAGCCTCAGTCGCCCCTGCTTCGGGTAGGTCTTGCGCCTACTTGAATTCTGCTTTTGTTTAGGACTCCTGACATGGCCACTCTTGTGTATGTCATTGTCACGCCCCTTCAAAAGTACCCTCTGTGGTGCGGGCTCCTTCCTGTACTCCTGGGCTTCCCCTGCTGAACAAATCCTGTCGTCACATTTCCTTTAGCATATGCTCATGACGGTGAGTTCTTGCACCTTCCGGAAGCAGGCTCCACCTACTGCTGCGTACAGCGCTTTCCCCGGTAGGAGATTCTCCACGGGCAGTTTCTCTGCACTCTGAGATGTTACTCTCCATCATTTGTGTTGAAAACTCGGGTGGAAGTCCTCTGTTTCCTCTGGATGCACAGTCTTGCCTTGCTTTGTGAACAGTGGACACCTAAGCTGTTGGGCCGTTGCCGGGCAAATGACAACTGGAATGTCTTTGGCTTTACTCTTCTAAAAAGAGCTGTTGGGTGGGTGAAGGGAGGAGGCTCTCCTATTGGATGGATGCTCTCTCTCTGCAATCGTGGTTTGTCTTTGGTCAGTTTTGAAAAGTCCTCTTTTATTTTGCCTTCAAATATTACTTTTGTTGTTGTTGTTGTTTTGGCTTTTTGAGACAGGGTTTCTCTGTGTAATACCGGCTGTCCTGGAACTTGCTCTTCAGACCAGGCTGGCCTCCAACTCAGAGATCCACCTGCCTCTGCCTCCCGAGTGCTGGGATTAAAGGTGTGGGCCACCACACAGCCAAATATTACTTCTTGCACATTATTTCCTCGACCCCAGGGGCTTATTTCACCAAAATTAGACCTGTGCCATGGGCTCACGCCACAGACCTCTCACTATGTTCCGGTCTTCCTGCTGCTGTCTGAAGATTTCCTTCTGCCATATCTTCCTGTTCACTAGTCATCTCTTTTACTGGATCCAACCTCTTCTTAAGCTCATCTGGTGAATTCAAGTTTAATTTCTGCTTTGGATTTTCAACTGGATTCTGAAATACGTCCCACTTCTCTGTGTAAAGTTTCTGTCTCCAAATTCACTTCCTGGACA